TCAAGGCAAAAAATACCAGAGAGATATTTACTTGTGTTTTATTGACTATGCAAAGGCATTCGATTGTGTGGATCATAACAAATTGTGGATAACACTGAGAAGAATGGGAATTCCCAAACACTTGATTGTACTTGTGAGGAACCTGTACATTGACCAGGAGGCTGTCATTCAGACAGAGCAAAGGGACATTGCATGGTTTAAAATGAAAAAGGGAGTGCTTCAGGGTTGCATCCTTTACCCATACTTATTCAATCTGTATGCTGAGCAAATAATCTGAAAAGCTGGACTATATGAAGAAAAGTGCGGCATCAGGATTGGAGGAAGAATCATTAACAACCTGCTATATGTTGATGACACAACTTTGCTTGCTGATAGTGAGGATGACTTGAGGCACTTACTGATGAAGGTTGAAGAATACAGTCTGCAGTACGGATTACATCTCAATCTAAAGAAAACAAAAATCCTCACAACTAGACCAATAAGCAGCATCACAATAGAGAAAAGATTGAGGTTGTCAAAGAATTCACATTGCTTGGTTCTATAATTGGCGCCAATAGAAGCAGCAGTCAGGACATTAGACGACATATAGCACTGGGCAAGTCGTCTGCAAAAGAACTCTTTCAAGTGCTGAGGAGCAAGGATGTCTCCTTGAGGACTAAGGTGCTCCTGACACAAGCCATGGTATTTTCAATTGCCTCACATGCATGTGAGAGCTGGACAATGAATAAGGAAGACCGAAGAAGAGTTGATGTTTTTGATTTGTGGTGCTGGGGAAGAATACTAAAAGTACCACGGAGTGCTAAAAGAACAGATCTGTCCTGGAGGAAGTGCAGCCGAAATGCTCCTTGCAAGTGAGGAGGCCAGACTTTGTCTCACCTACTTTGGTCATGTTGTCAGAAGGGACCATTCCCTGGAGAAGGATGTCATGCTTGGTAAGGTGGAGGGGTCAATGAAAGAGGGGAAGGCCTTCAACGAAATGAATTGACACGGTGGCTGCAACGATGGGCTCAAGTATAGCAAGGATCATGGAGCTGGGATTGGGTGGTGTTTTGTTCTGCTGTGCATGGGGTAGCTATGAGTCAGAAATGACTCCATGGCACCTAACAACAACAACAACATTTTACTCCATAAAAAAGAAACAAAAAACCCAAACTCACTGCCATCGCATCGGATACGACTCATAGCAACCCTTCCTTGGGTTTCCGAGGCAGTATCACTATGGAAGTAGATTGCCCAATGTTCCCTCTGAAGAGTGGCTAGTGGATATGAACTGCCAGCCTTTTGGTTAGCTGTCAAATGCTTTAGGCACTATGCCACCAGAGCTCCCATTAGCTTGCCATAGAAAGATGATTATGTTTAATTCTCAACATCCAATAAGGTGATAAGGCCACACTGTTTTAATTATCAAACTCTGTTAGATAAATGTTGGCTTCTGTGGAAGAACAATGTGGAACAAAAGTCA